TAAAAAAAAAATCATGCATTTTTCAATAGTGTTTTGTGTAACAGGTTCTTTTTAACACCAATTTTTGTGTTTAATTTTTCATTTTGTCACAAATTAAATTTTCAATGGTCTTTGTGTAAAAGGTCCATTTTAGTTAACCCCGTTAATTTTGGGTTTAATTTTCTATATTATATTATTTAAAATTTTCTTGAACCAGGATTTCTTGTTCCAAAAGGCTGGAGAATATATGTCTACACAAGAGAGGTCAATTATGACCCAATTCTCTATCAAGAGCCCCTTAAATTCAATCCCTGGAGATTGGCTGGTTAGTTAATTCAATGCATATTTATTATCAAATCAAACAATTCAATTGGTTTTCAGTGTTAATTTGTAAATTTTGCAGGATAAGAACTTGGAATCACATAATTAGTGCTTTCTGTTGGGAGGAGGAACTAGGCTTTGCCCTGGGAAAGAACTGTCGGGATCAATCAGCAGGCTAATGCAATCAGAGGTTGGTGGGAGTGAAGTAGGTTTCGCGAGAATACACCCAACTTGGAATTGTCACAATATCAGTTTTTCTTCACTATTTTGTAACTACATGCAGGTGATCAATTCTCACTTATTTATTTTTTAAACTTTTCAGTGATGATTCTCAATTTTTTTGGTCTACTGACTGAATAATGGTTCGGGATTATATGTGTTATTCGATCCTAGCCGAGCCGAGCACTCCGTGTTCCAGTTCGTCCTCGCTTAATAAACTGCTATTAAACAAGCATAGGCTTGTTTATATATGATGTTATAAATTGATCCATGTTTTAAATGATGTTATAAATATTATATGTACTAAGTATATATGTATTTTTTTTATCAGGAAAAACATGACGATTTTTGTCTATTATTTTGACAAGGAACCTAGATATCAGGAAATTATGTGTTTCATCTTTTCATTTAATATTCTGGGGGATAGGCTTGTCTGGGAACTTTTGCTTCTTAACTATTAGTTTCCAGATGCTGAAAATTTTAGTTATATTTCAAATTCGACAGAGGTTTGGAAATCCTCAATTTGTCTTTCTGGCTAATATCGATGGTTTTTCAGCAGGGTGAAATGATGCGAATCTGCAAACACAAATATCTCATTTGTATGGTGGATTGTTGGCTTCTACTGGGTGGTCTCAGGTGGCGAAGCTCTTTTAACAGATGCTCCGCGTTTGTATTGGTAAGTCTAAAGCCTCCCGGATTAATGCTTCAGTTTGTATTGCTCTTCTTATTGTTAATACTGTAATCCAGTCCTATCTTATGTTACCTTGGAGCTATGTTTATCGGAGTGTATAGATTTGTTTTTACTTTGAATTTGAGAGTTATAGACATTTTTTTAAAGGGTGGCTTACTCTTTGCCAGGCAATATTTTTTCATTCTTGCTGCTATACAAGTATTTGAGGGAAGTTTATTGTTATGTATGTAATCTAATCTTTGTTTATTATATAGTATACAAAAGTCCTGATCTATGTTGTAGAAACATGTTGGACATTTTGCGATGATTACCATGTATATTATACACATCTTTCTTTTACAACAAACTAACAATTCTAAGGTAAGTATGTGGTGCTTTTTATTTATGTAATGGTATCTGGTGAAACATATGTTCCTCATAGAATAAGTGTTATCTATGGCGGATGGCGGAAAATAGCGGCAGGCTGAAATCCCACCATAACAGTTGTCATTGCCGCCCGCCATGGCGGCGTATGGCTCTGCCGTAACGCAACTCTTCACAAATTTTAATTGGCACTTAGATAGAAACCCGCCATGTCGGAAATTTAATAACACTGCATATATAGGGATTAAGAAGAAAAGTTTTCAACCAAGTCCATGTCAAACTAAGTTGCATGCATAACTAAAGCGTTAAAGGGTCATAAAATGAACAGCAAGTCAGTCCTCTTCTGACAACCCCATTGATTTCATGGGAGATTCAAGTGAGGTGAATCTGGTCGCTTTCACGAAAACCTGTTTGCGTGCTCGGTCTTTTTATGTTCTTTGGCTGATTTTTAATAATTCATAAATACATATAAATTCAAGTGATCATTTCAAATGACAACAAATTTTAACTCGATAATAGACTGAATTTGAGCCGGCTGTGCGTGCACAGCCGTAAGGCAACTAGTAAAAAAATAATAATAACTATATTCGCTAATACTCAATTTTTCTAAATAAGATAAAATAATGTTACCAATTTCAAGTTTTAACTTTTTATAAGGTAACAATTAACTTCTCTTTTATCTTAAACCAACAAGGCACTAGGATTATGTCAAATTTGGAGTTCTTACCTCTTTAACTTGGTAAATGGATAGTTGTCTTTGACAAACTAACTCGGAGTACTTGTGACAATTGAACATGGGACTCTTTATTTTGGTACCCAAAAATAATAATAATAAAAAAAAAAGTGAAAATAAATCAAACTTGGAAGATTTGAACTTTAGTGATATTATTATACGAGATCACCTTCTGTCCAATGTAGATATATTTTATGAGAACAAATAAACTCACCCCTTTCACAGCACAAGACCAACAACCATTATTTTTGTATGCAAGAATGTAAAATATCCAATAAATTTGACAAAAATTTGGAAAATACTAAAGTCTTCCCAAGGGTGTTCACATACAACTCCCCAATGGTAATGTATCATTATTCCTCACCAACTATTAATGCAATATGTCTTTAACTTTCCTAAAAAATATTACCACAAAGATTGAACAATATAATAAAATCATGATCAACTGGCACTAGCTACAGGCTGAGATCGAGTCTTTTCAACACTTTCAACTGGCTGTTGGGGCCCACAAGCCGCCGTGCATGCTTTGCAAGGTGGTGGGGGAGAGTCATCCGAGACGCTAATCCGAAAGGTTTGGTTGTGCTTCTCGTTTGCTGGGACATGAAGCAAGGCTTCCATTATGAGAATCTCCCAGTCGCGTGGCCATAAATATGAAAACCAAGATTCGCCTGCTTCGAATAGTTGAAAAGAATATCGTTTTCAAAAGTGGAACAAAGGGAAAAAAAAAAGAAAAAGAAAAAAAAAATTCTGAAGTTAGTAATATATAATAAGGAGAAGTTCCAAAAGCAGAGGGAAAAAGAAAAGAACAAACTTGAAGACTTCAAGTTTGATTCTACTTAAATTAAGTGAATATTTGTACCGTGTTCAAGAATTTGGAGGGATTTCTATGTAGCTTTTGTTTATGAAGTGAATATTTGGAAACTTCGTGGGTTTATATGAAAAACTTATGCAACACAATGTTATTTTGCAATTGATCTTTCTTTTGTTAACTACTTGTCAGTAATTGGCCAAGGTAGCCGTAGGTTAATGAGCATCTTGTGCCTTATAATTGAACAAAAAAAAAAAAAGCAGTGGGGCATTTTACATAAGGAGAAGTAAATCGAACCTCCATTGCGTACTGCCTTGAGCTGAAACATCACAGTGCCTTGCGGCCCAGATGCTGGAAAAGAGCACGATACTGATTGGCGCTTATGATTTACGCCAAGTGATGCATTGTACCAAGGGCCCCTCACGATAGGCTCGCCTATAGCTTCAACTATTGCTTGGTTCTTACTGGCTTTCTCCATAGCCTTACTGCAAAAGTAGAACAAAATTTTATTATCATGATTATGATGTACAAAATGATGAAACACGTTTAAAAAGTATAATTTGTGATATTTATAGGACCCTTGGAGGCAGAAAAAGAAACACACACACACACACACATTTGATGTAATTTCCACACTAATTTCCACATTAGCAAACTGAAAATTAAGTAATCGTGTTAATATGATCTGGCAGCATACAATAGCAACATTCAGAACAAGGAGATTCTATCGCCTTGTACAATAAGACAGAAAGAAGGGGGGAAAGTAAGAAAACATCAAGATCAAGGAAAAAGGTAGACAAAATCTGAAGAATGAACATTTCAGCCTCAAAATCATAAGGAAAAACAGTGGAAAAAAGTAAGATATAAGAAAGTCATATTGTGGTATGTAATTTCCCTTCAAATATATTCGAGAAACACAGATTGAGAATGCAGCACGATTGCATATACCTATCCTTGAATGCTCCATTCAATGATATTACTCGCTTATTCAGGAAGAGGATGTGGAAATGTTACTTTTACTTCCAAGCTCTGAAAACTGATTTCAAATTTTAGCTCATGTGGGACCACAAACTACCGTAATACTATACATAGTGAACACCATGTCAACAACTTGAGGGGAGAAAACCAAAACTGTTTGGCAAGAAAGAAATACTGGCAACATAATTCTTGTTGACAATATATACTCGGTCATACTCAGTCTATAATTCCAATGACCAAGAGAAGTTAAATGAAACACCACATGACTCAGGGCCAATATATATACACATCTCTCAAGACAAATCAATTCACAATATAATTCATGGAAGAATAGAAAGAAAAGGGAAGTAAACTTTCGGCAACACACATAACACACACACACACACACACAAAGGTAACTCCACAAATATTACAGAGATAAACCTGCTGCAGCCATAGAAAATGAGAAGATCATTAAGAGCACTCAAAGCAACACCTCCCGTCAGGCTAATAAGTGCCCCCGATACTATTTTCCGGCCCCATGATTGCCCTTCCTTTTCTCCTCCTGCTGCTGGTGTTGACACAGGGCCTACTCTGTTCTTCAGCAAGGATGTTAACCTTCGGGCCACCATACCTTTCTCTATCCACGTGTTTTTTTTTTCTGACTGACTGTCTATGATCTCAAGGGAAAATCAATAAAGTTCCAATCTTGATGTTGTTTTGAAGTTCAATACCAAAGATATAATCAAATAATGGTCCGTTTGGCTTGCTCAGACAGCTCCCGAGTCCCTCCTGAGTCCAAGTTGCAAGAGAATTTGTCAAAATACTGTCCGCATAGAACACAGCTACAATTTCAGTAAAACAAGAATCCATCAAAATGAGAAGAAATAACAGGAAATGGATATATCTTTTAAGGTAGTCATAAATGATGCAGAGCTGGCAAGGTCGTCAGAATCAAGAGCTCCCAAATAAACTAGCCAAGCCCAGATTTGATGTTCAGCTTGGTACTAAAATTCATGGATAATTAAAATTTAAAACAGAAAAAGGCATGAGATTACTTAAGATTATGCGACAAGAAACTACTACGATGAGTTTTACTCGCACACACACAAACACAGAGATAAGCTACACAAAGACAACCACATCCGAAAAACACGTTTCAGCAACACAAACAATCGCGCGTGAATGAAGACAAAAAGGACCTTTGAGCAAAGGTTTTGCATACTTGTTGAGGAATAAAAAAACGAAATCATAAAACATAAGAGGAAATACAGTCTCAAATCAGGAAATAAACAAAGATACTCTTACCTACCTTATTCAGATATGAAGCAAGGTGCCGACTGACGACGGCGCTGCGGAGCGATGGCGGTGGCGTGGAGGTCCGGAATAGCATATGGGAGTTGCGCTTTGTTTATTGGGTATGAATTTGGGCCATGTGATGGGCTTTGGCTTTATAATGATTACCTGGTTGGGCTTGAGATGAAAATTGGCCTTAAAAGTCAAAGCACTGCGGCCCGTTGACTAAATAATGCACCCTCAGTTACTAGTATAGTTGTTGTAAGAAAGGAGTCGACATTAGGTATATTAATTAAGATTCATGCTCATGCTTATCTAAATAACATTTAGCTAACGGGTTAAGACCGACTTATGAAAACTCTTTTTGCTCGTTAATAACGGTATTTTGTTTAGCTCAACTTATTAGTGTTTCGCGTTATTAATATAATTGATAAATTAGTCTGGCTTGAGCTTGTTTAATTAACGATGAGCTTAACTAATTGAGTCGAAGACTCGAGCTGAATTTGCGTTTTAGATGCTCGAACTCGACTCTGACTAGTTTTCAATGGGTACTATACTAGACTAGCAGTACTAGTTAATATTTTTCTTATATAAGTATCACGGTAATGTATCTCATCCATATATAATTCACTTTAAGTCATATGGGCATTGTAACAAAATACTTCTCCAATTTCTCACAACTCTTCAAGTGTAGATACTAAATAGTAAAACTAAATACACACGGATCTTGCTAATTGACATAAAATTTGACATAATACACGCATGCCAATTGTCAAAAAATTCACACTTAATTTCATATAATTTATGTCAGCTATTGTGTCAAAACATTATGTCAAATCAGCATAATTCAAATACACACCGTATAAATTTACAGCCTTTTTATGCTCCAAGGAAAAGAAAGAAAATATTGTGCACACAAATTGTGTATACTGTCGTATATCTCTCTCTCTCTGCACCACATAATATAACTATGCTGGAATGTCTTCATTGAATTGTCACTGTAAAAGATATGGCTAAATAGCTATAGTTGTTGAAGTTCATTTAAATCAGATTTTTTCCTTACCCATATCCAAAAACTTACTGCACAAGGACAAAAGGACCTATTTGTTATTTGAAAATCTTAGCTTTAGTCTTAATTTAGTTTCAAACTTCAAGATGGCAAAGGAGATTAATTAAGAGAATGGACATTGACTCGTAGTTGATAGTCCTAAATTTATTTCACTGTATTAGCTCAGATCAATTAACGAGTCGATAATATTTTATCAACTAGATATCGTTAATTTGAGCAATAATAATCTGCATATCTTATCCTATCCAATCTTTGAGCTAGTTTAATTATATAAAATGTTACAAAACGGTCAACCCGAACAATTGGATGGCACATTTAGTCAACACCATAATTGAAAGTTGCAAATAATAATAATAATAATAATAATAAATAACATTTCACTAATTAATTAAAAAATGATTAGCAGGCAGCTTTATGAGGCTTGGGCCATCAAATATTATTTTTGCACCTGAAAAAGGCAAAAGCAGTTAAAAATGGAAAATACAAAGTTCGAAAAAAAAAAGTTGAAATTATGATGGCACATAAATAAAAAAGTGAGCTGTGGACATAACGGCATTGTTTTTCCAAAGTTAATTTGAAATGTCTTTTTGGACACAACAATCACATTTTCTGTCAAAGATTTATCTAAATCATCCAATCAGGAGTATTTCACGAGCTCGAATTCGGTTGTTTTATCAATATAATCGAGCTGCTGAGCTCAAGGAAATCTTGATTAACACAACAGTATTATATATATTTTGAGTCGAGCTCATTCGCAAGTGAAAAAATGGGTAACCAGCAAGAACCACTGGCACAACCACCACCGGCGGCGGTGGGCCGCCACTCGATGGAGACATTGGTGGTGGTGTTGGCCGCCATCACCATCATCGGAGTTTTTGCGGGGATCGTGGCTCGGTTATGCGGTGGCCGGCATCTCGGAGGCTCGGGGGACCAAGACATAGAAGGATGGGTGGAGAAGAGGTGCCGAAGCTGCATAGACGGAGGCTTGCCGGAGGATCCGGCGGCGGCGGCCAAGGAGGAGAAACCGAAGCCGGCAGCAGCCGAGGAAGAAAAGAAGTGAAAAAAATATATATATTCATGTCATGCCTGTCTTAATTATGTGTATTATTTCATTTGTTTATGGAAATTTAATGACAATTTCTTTTTCTTTTTTTTTTTTGTTTTTTTATGGATTTAATGTGCATATCACTATTTCAGATTTTTTAAGAGAATTTTTATTCAGTATTTCACAAATTTTAGATGACCAAATGGCACCAAAAAATACAATGCCAAATTCAAGTATTAATAGAGCTTGAATGACTAATTTATATTTTTTACATTAATAAACTAATCCAATATGCTATAGTAAAATTCATATTTTTTAGTAAGTAATATTAAGCCACTTAATGTTTTTATTTAAATTGTATAATTTTTCACATTAATTTATAAGTTTTATATTATTTTGAGTCCAAATTATTAGGATTTTTTATATTATTTTTTAACATCAACAAGTCAAACTTCAGAGTAAAATGGATTACTCGTGAGTTCAACTAGGTTCCGCTCAGCTCATAATACTCGATAAGTAAGAGTTTTTATATAATTATGTTTAAAATTTATATCATGTAATAATCTATACTTATATAATAAGAATTAACATTTATCCAAAATAGTAGGTCAAATTATGGTCAATGTCGGATTTGCATTAAATATTTTCCAAAACCGGTAAGTTTTTGTCCTTTTCACACTTCTCATTAATTATGTCCTTTTCACACTTTTCATTAATTATGTCCTTTTTACACATCTAATTAATTCATTAATTACGACATAATTATCATAAATCATTTCATCTGAACTTTTATCGTTAAAATGTATAACGGTCTGTTATGACCTTATCCTATTGATATTTCCATGAAGCGTCCTTATCGCGTTCTATTTTTTGGTAACCACTCTATATCAATGACCGGATATTTGGTTAATGATAACACACGTCTTTATTTCAAGGAGCGGATATTCTTTGACCTTTAATTAACCTGAACTGATTGCCTTGACTTTTCAATTTTTAAAAACTCTTTTTTCTTAAATATTTCGGCTTAAGATTCGGATTTCATTATACAAGTCATCGGATTGTTTGAATGAAAATGAATAAAAAGAACACCAAAAACAGGTAGCCTTATTCATATAACCAATCCTAAAATATTAGTTTGTTCACCAAAAAGAGACAAATCCTAGAAATCTTAAAATATTAGTTTGTTCACCAAAAATATTAGTTTGATTTTTAGTATTTGTCTCTTTTGAAAATATTAGTTTGTGATAATGAAGAGTTACCAAATAATCAAACTCATAATGTTGTGTACAAAGAAGTTTTTAATAATATATGATTGTTACCGAACTTTTTATGATTCAACAATGTTCCTATGTATTTTAATAATTTCAATTTCGATCCTAATGCACGTGAGGTTATATTATTCTTCCAAATTTTACGTCCCATGCATCACACGAGTTAGTTTGTTAAAATTCGAACAAGCTAATTTATTACTGGCTCATTAACTTAACAAACTAAATATTGGTTGGTCAGTAAACTAACTCCCTCTCTATTTTCAACAAGCTCCAAATTATGATTTTTTTGTAACTTTTACTATTTTCTTCACCAAATTTAATCGCCATAGCTTGGAGCTTTTATGGAAAAACATAGATGCGAGAAGAAGTTCCTTCAAAGGCCTCAAATGGTTCTGTTGTTGGATTAAGCACTTTCTCTTTCTATGCTCATCATTTACTCACTCAGCAAAGCTCGCAGTCTACTGGCAGCCGGTCAGTAAGTCTTTTTCCCGGCGGTTTTCCCCTTTTCATAATCTTTTTTTTTTTTTCTTTCCCGTTCTTCTTTGTGCATATCAATGGAAGATAAAGGTTATGTTCGGCTCTGTAATTTTGGCTTGCTGCATTTTATCTCTGCTTGGATTGAATTATTTTACTATTTTTTCCCCCAATTTTGTCACCCCCGTTAAGTNGTGAGCAATTTTGAAGATTTGGGTGTTGGTTTAAAAGAGGCTCTTTTGCTTGTGAATTTTGCTTATGTATACATGGTAGTTGAGTGAGTTCTAGGCTGAGCTGTAAGCAGAAATATTTCTAAATGTGGTTTTGCTATTGCATATTTTGTGTTGTGGATGTTCAAGCTTTGTCAATATAGCCTAGTGAATGTGGAGTTGTATTTACTATGTTCAAGCTTTTGTTCTCAAGCTTTAACAAGTGTAGAATTTGCAAAGGCTTTATATTTTGTCACATACTGCTGGCCGATTTTATAAACATTGATTGGTTGTAACAATTGCTAAAGCTGCATGAATTTGAAAACAATAGGTTCCCTCTAAGAACCGATTCAATAGGTCGAAATGAAATTCGTTGCCGATTAGCATAACAAACAAAAAGCAAGAACATAATTGTATTCAATTTGGTTGAAAAAAAAAAGAATCAATCATAATCGGGTCTAAATGGCAGAAATTATGACCCGATCAAAGACAGAGATTTTGGATGCTCCACTTCACATGATCGGTTTCGAACTAGACGAAGTTTCAGCTAGTAAAGTTTCGGGCCACCTCATAATCACTCCAGAATGCTGTCAGGTACTAATCATTTTAATTCCATATTATAATAATTGGTAAATTACTATTAATTTTAACTAATTTGAGATTGTGCAGTACCATATGCTTCATAGAGGGGTATCGGCAATTATATCCGAGGCCTTAGCAAGCATAGGAGCTCATATTGCCTCTGGATTTCACAGAGTGGCCGGCATACAACTCAGCATTCACCATCTCGAAACTGCACAGCCTGGTGATTATATAGTTGCTGAGGCTACACCACTCAATCTCGGAAAATCTGTTCAGGTGGAAAATTTATATGTTTACCGTTTTTTCCATAATAAGTTTAAGGGTCATGTATAATACATTTCAATTCAAAAGCGTTATTGATTTTTTTTTTTTTAGCAGGTCTGGGAAGTTGCTCTGATGAAATGCGATCCTTCTAAAACCGATACTAAAACTCTGATTGCGTCTTCAAGTCTCACATTATTTTGCGACTTGCCTGTGCCGGATAATGCTAGAGATGCTGCTCAGAATCTCAAAAGATACGCAAAGTTATAGACCGGCTTAGTTCTTGATCACTCCGCATTTTTTTTTTTTGGTATAATGTGTATTTTTTTTTTTAATATGTCATCCAGATATACAATTGATGGTTTCTCTTAACCTGAATAAATATTAGAAATTTTTTCTTGTATTTGGTGTTCTTATTTATAGCACTGCCACTTGTTTGAAGGATTTGATGTTTACAGGCTTGTAATGACTAATGATACAGTGATTTATGTTTGATGTAAGTGTGTCAAGAGTAAGAATAACACAGAAGCGACACAAATTGTGTAGAATTAAAGAAAACCACAAGTAACACAACCCATTAGAAAATTTTATTCAATCCTAGATCAATCCATATGTTACAACAGAACAGATAGACTACACTTTATTTCTTATATTTTGAATGAAAAAATGAATTAAAAAAAAAAAAAAAACCATTCAAATCTATTCTTATGAAGACCAATAAACTTCTAATGTAGAACTTTGGTGTGATCATTTTTTCGAATTACCTATCTGTACATGAAAATGTACAAAAACACCTAAATTCAAAACATGCTAATCGCCTTTCGACTTTAGAAGTTTAGTTCCGGCAATTAGGTGAAACTGTTCCTAAGTTCTGTAGACGGACGTTATTACAGACGGCTTTGGATTTCTCGCCACCTGTCCCGATCAAGTTCACATTTTGCAGAGTGATCCCCTGGCAAGGATGCCTTTTGCTGCATTTGAAATTGATGGCTTCATCTGAAGTACTTGTGCCCTTGATGTTTTTGTATTCGATGTTCTTCACTTGTACGGCTGAACTCTGAAAAAAATATACACGATAAAAGTCGTTATTTATCATTATTATTATTCATTATTTTGCATTAAAATTAAGCGTGTGCACGACTGTCTATCTAACCTGTTCTTTGCACGGTTCCTTTTGATCGCAATAACTTTGGTCGATGATTATCGGGTTTTTCACTCCTTGCATTTGTATATTGTGGAATTTAATGTTGCTTGCACTTCCAGAGCCACCCTGATTTGATTTGTAGTAAAAATAAGACAAAAAAACTTGTAATAAAACAGTAAAAAATGGTGATTAACTAACTTACCTGCCATGTCTTGATTCTAACTCCATTAGTTGTTCCAGAAAGTTTTGCTCTGTTAACTACAACATCCGAGACATATTCTTCTGAATTTTCAGAACCTAAGCTTCCAATACTGATTTTCAAAACAAGTACCAGAAAAAAGGGTCATTCATTTTCTCTGACTAAAATTCTAATGAAATTCTTGAATTTTTTTTTTTCATAAATTTCTTTTTTATATGATTGATTGAATTTGAATCCTAACCTAATGCCATGGCCTGGTCCACAGGTAATGTCTGTAGCTCGAACTTTCTCCGATCCACTGACGATCGAAATGCAGTCATCGCCTAATCGGTTCAGTTTTTATTAAAAATTGTCGTCAATATATATATATACACAAATTCAGCAAAAAAAAAATGTTATAAATGTTTTCACGGCGAGAAATTATTGTACCGGTGCCAATATTGCAGCTCGATATTTGGATGTTTCGAGTGCCTGTGACATGAATTCCATCTGTGTTGGGGCTTTTCTCAGGGGCTATCACATCAAGGTTAGAAGTTTGAACATTTGTGCACTTTTCAAATGAGAGATGAATTTGCTGTGCATTTTGGATCTTGAGGTTTTTCACAACCAGGTTTGTGCACTTGTAGAAGGTTAAAGCCTGCACATAAATGTACATTTATGCATCAATAAATAAAATATTTACATATATGTCCAAGAATATTATAAACTGAATTGAAGTCAAGAAGAAGCAAACATACAGTTGGAGCACTCTTGCATGGCTGCAAAATTAAAANAAAAAGGAAATAATACCATTAGAGAATTATTAGAATGAATATTGCAAATTAAATATGGAAGAAATTAAAAGAAAGTAATTAGAGATATACTAAATAGAGAAAACTATGATAAATCACCTTAGCTTTATTTATCTTGCAAGAATTTTTCCACCAAATATCCCCATTGCCATAAATAGTTCCACCACCTTCGATGACTAAATCTTTTACCCTGTCGAAAATAAGCCAATGCCTCAGGTCTTCTGCGTAATCCGAACGATCATCCGATGCTAGGATAACTCCAGAAATCTGCAACAATTATTTTTAGTTTGTTAACAGTTTGATTACATAAATATATACAAATTATGTAATTAAATGTGATTTATATAATTAATCTAGCTTTGTTCAACCGTTTTACCTCCATTTTTACTTTGGATTTGCAAGGACCTGAAAATCGCAACGGTTTCAAAAGAAAACTTTTGCTGCGCGGCACCACAAAATCGACATAGTTTGGTGACGAACAAGCTTTGTCCCACGCAACTGCAAACGCCTAAAAAAAATTAAAATTATACAAACAATTAATTTCAAGGTAAAACAAAAATGTTAGCAAGATACTCAGAAAAGATGAACCCGAGTTATTTAGATTAACATACCTTAGAATCATCGGTTTTCCCATCTCCTTTAGCTCCAAAGCTAAGCACATTAACTGTCCTAACCGAGCTTTCAAGTTTTCGGACTGACTTATTGAAGTCGGAAAAAGAGTCAATGGGTCTAGCATATGAAGGATAGGCGTGAAAATCGATACCATATTCCTCTTCTAATAAATGGCTACCAACCAAATCATCATTGAGACTGTTGGTGCAAATTGGTCTTAAAGACAGGGCAATTATCAAGAATGTGAAAAAGTAGTGCTTTTCAAGACCCATAACTTGCTGTTTTCTTTTTTTTTTTTGGAATTATAGTAAGTTTTTTTGTGGTAGTAATTATTATGGGATGTGAGTGATGACAAAAGCCCTGCATGTAACCTTGACATTTATATAGGTTTATGAGGTAGTACTTTTCTTGTTTATTTTTTTTTTTCTTTCATTTTTTTATCCGTTACTCTACGACTCTTACGACATGGAGATGGGTATGGAGAAGATTTAGACGAAAGGTTTACCGATAAAACAGATGCTGACTTTTTCGCTCCATGCTTAATATGAAAGCTACATTTTATTTGTTCTGTCAAAGATGAAATTTTTAGACACACCCTTTTGCTTGTTCTTGCTTGCATGACATGCTGCTATTGTACTTGAAAGTTCAAATTATGACAACATAAGATAAAGACAATAACTCATAAGGTAACAATCACAATGTATCTCAACTCAAGTGATTATATTTTTGTCATTCGCAAGCTATCCTCTTCCTATTACATCACTACAATTGTGTGTGTACTCGATAAATGAAAATGCATGCACGTGTAAATTTTCTCTTTGAAAAACATGCGTATCAAGAATAATCGCATACTCGAACGCATTCTCTCCAAATATATATTATCCACGGAATTTTTGACACTTGGCGAACCATGACCAAACATCTCTAATTGAAGTTTCTTCAAACCAAAAAAATTGAGAAAAGTGTTGGCTTTGGTTAATGAATAATCATCGTCCCATACCGATATATCCCTGTCGTTTGGTCAGAAGAAGTTTGCTGCAAATTTAGGTTTAAGATGTAGATTATAATTACGTTAAGTCAACTCACAAGTACACGCAACACATATGTCGATCGACTTCAATAATTCCTTCAATGATTCATTCAATGAGATGACTTTTAATGTTTCAAGATAGCTTGTTTATGCATACAATTAGGGTTTATCATGATCAACACATCACATCATATTTAATATTCAAACTTTATCTATTCTATGCTTTTCTACAAGTTGATAATAAATCCATTTGTGGGATGTTTTCTGTGGATTTGCCCATTCATACGTGTCCATCATAACCTTAACAAATTACATATGATTTATGGTTTGACATTATAGATTATGTTTTGAAATTTGATGTAAGAGGCCAAAGTTTCAAAGCAACATGCATGCACATATTGTTAAGGAAATGTGATTAGCATTAGAGATGATTGATACTTAGCAAGTATTTGATGCCCCTCAACTATTTATGTGTTGTTCATAAAAAGTTTGTGTAACCTTCAAAAGAAGTAATGTATAAGGCTTGGATTTCATGGCAACGTCTCTACGACGAGCTTGGAATTTTAGTTCATATTTTGTTTCTTTGTAAATTAAGACAAACCAAGAAATGAAGAATTACACTACATTTGCAAACGAAATGAAAAAAAAACAATTGTAAAACTACCATGTATCACAATTTATTGTCAGAAAAATATGTAAGGTTGAAGTTTTCAATCAGATTCAATTATGTTTCCATGATCCAACTCATCAATTGAGACAATAAATTCATGAAATTGAAGCTTTAGCTTGTTGGCTTGACACATGTCGTTTCATCCGTGTTTGTATATAAATATATCTGCTCAAAATAAGTTTTTTAAATTAATCAGGGTTAATTTAGAAAAATGTGGTATAATTACTTGTTAGTGAAATTTTAATTTTATATTAAAATAATATTCAAATAATATAATTTAAATTAATTTGATGTAAAAGTAGGAGATAAATGATTTGAATTGATGGTTAATTAAAATTATATGAGGGGATGAATAGTAGAATAATTGATTGATATGATTTAATTATATTAATAATATTGAGAATAATGAGATTGAGTTAAAATTGAGTTAGATTTTAAATATAGATTGAGTAGAAATTGAGATTATTTGTATACAAACACACCTTAAACCCAACGACTTAGACTCTCTTTATCTAGGTTACACTTTGTTATTGGACTTAATACTATCCAACTTTCTTTATCTAGGTTATCCATTTGATATAATCTACTCCATTGGTATGGATACTTTATCGATTGTTGTGATATCATGTTATATCTAGCCAACCAAACACAACGTATTGCCTCAAACTATAGATCATAGGATCTTCAGAAATGGAGTTGTTCAATCATTACTTTGAAGCATCTTTGATATGCTAACTCTTCTCAGACCGACAATTTACGTTCGAGAGTATGTAACGTCTTCGACTCGAACCTCCGAACTCAGAAACCTACAAAACACACCGTAAGAGTTTTCAGCAGAAAAACTCTAACGCTCAAGTCAGTGATCGGGCTATAAACTATTTACTATGAGAGGATATATTGTATGTAATCATTTTACAAAACCTAAAACCTCCTTTGATAAAAATATATTGTCAAACACATTTCTGACTGTTAAACGAAACGAGATGCTCGTAAATCGGTTCAGCTCAACTCATTAAGGCTTGTTAAGGCTTGAAATATATATATATATGTGGGATTTGGTTGAAATGAGAATTAAGTCCTAACGTGAGAACCGTGAGACCCGCTATTTTTAATTGTATGTAGTGTTATGATTGATTGTATTTTAGTGCTATTTTTAATCAGGATGTATTTTATTAAAAATAGCAACACAATTTATGTTAACATTTGTAAAAATGATAGCACCATGTGAGATTAAAAATAGCAACATGCACTAGCATCAAATATGTTCTCATGGTTCTCACACCAGGATTAGTTTTTATTTGAACTAACTACTTGCACTAATTATACCGTCCATGCAAAGAAAAAAAAAAACACAATTATATTTATGCAATTAAAAAAAGTGTATGCTACAACATTGGATATTAATCCATACATCATAGGTACTCACTTAATAAATCTTCACTACATCATTTGTTGGAATAAAAAATTTAATAACGGAAAAAAAAAATGGGACTATGTTTACTTGAAAGACTATCAACAAATGTACAGATTTTTAAATTCATTTTCAAATTGAAACTTTAAATTCGTATTCAAATTGAATTGAATAATATAATTTAATTAGAAATGTAGGAGTTTCTTAGAAAAAAACTATCAAGCAATTTGCATTGGTTTTCAAAAACACATAAATACTAATTTCTAAAATTATGGGGATTGTTTACTTGATATAGATTATGACCACGTGTACAGATTTTAAAACCATCATGAAATTCAAATTGGAATAATATGATTTAATAAGAATTGTAGGAGTTTGTTAAGAACAAAAACTCTGTGAGTTTGCATTGATTTTCAAAAACAAATAAATACGGATTTCTTTTATAAAGAAATCATTTATTCGTATTTCATCATAAATCTCAAAGATGTGTACTTTGTTGATACGTGTTTGAATAAAAATCTTAATAACAACGAGATTTTAAAATCATTACATAAAATTGATAAATGAAGTATATGCATCGTAGAATTGTTAAGTCTCCGTTTATTTTATACATTTGAATACAAATTTTGATAATGAGATTTTAAATTATTATATAAAATTGATAAATGAAGCATATGCATAAAGCATGGAGTTATTAAGCCTCCGTTTATTTTATACTCAAATTGATGACGAAATAATTTTCGGTATCATCTCAATATTTATTTTATATATAATATGTAAATCTTCTCTCAATTTTAATATTTTAGACATAAATTTTTTTATGTTCTTTAAATAAGATAATTTTTTATATTGTTACAATAGACTATATAAAGTAAATTTTATCATATGTAACCCCACATCTTTAATTTATAATTATAGTTAATATTGTTTATCCTAATATTTAGTTTATAATTAATATTAGTATTATTATTATTTTTTTTGGTACAATGAAAGAGGTCATAAGCCTATATTAGGACTCGACGGGGATACGGCACTCCAATAATATTATGCTCTAACCAAACTCCCTCCCAGAACCGAAAGCGGGGAACCTACTCGCTGAAAGTTGGGATTATTAGTATTATTTACCCGTGCATAGCACGGGCTACACACTAGTTTTCTATAATTCATAATTCAATTTGTTAATATGATAAACGAGTTGAACTCGAGTTTGAATAATATATTAGTTGAATAATGGAAAAATACATTAGTTGAAGCAGCAAACCTCCAAAAAAAAAGGTGAAAAAAAGGGAGGAAAAAACCAGAGCTGGCGGAGGAGGAAGAAGAAAGGCTAGCCTCACTGATACAAAAATGCCCCGACATGCGAGCCCTCCTCCAAATCCACGCCCACCTCCTAACCCTCCCGACCCTCCCCACCCGAACCCGCTCCTACGCCCTCTCCAAGATCCTCTGCTTCGCCGCCTACCGCAACATCCGCTACGCCCAGGCCATCCTCTCCCAAATCCCACGCGCCGCCATCTTCCCACACAACACCGTCATCCGCGGCCTCCTCCTCCTCCGTCCCACCTCCCCGGAGCCCATCCTCCACTTCAAGAAACTCGTCCGGAAGAAGTTCCCCGCGCCCAACACCTTCACCCTGGCCTCCGTCCTCAAGTGCTGTTCCGTCCTTCCGGCGCCGGAAGAGGGCCGGCAGGTCCACAAGCACGCCCTCACCGCCGGCCTGGGCTCCGACCTCTTCGTCCGGACGTCCCTGCTCAACTTCTACACAAAGTGCGACGAGATCGGACCTGCTCGGAAGGTGTTCGATGAAATGACTGAGAGAAGCGTGGTGACGTGGAGTGCCATGATTGGAGGGTATGCACGGGCAGGGTGCGTGAACGAGGCGCTGGAGCTGTTCCGGGAGATGCAGAGGGGTGGGGTGGAGCCAGACGAGGTGACAATGGTGGGAGTGATCTCGGCATGTGCTGTGACGGGGGCCCTGGAGCTGGGAAGGTGGGTCCACGAGTTTATAAGGCGGAAAGGGATAAAGAACGATATTGAGGTGCGTACAGCACTTGTGAACATGTACGCCAAGTGTGGGTGCATCGAGAGGGCATGTGAGGTTTTCAAGGCCATCCCGGTTAAGGATGCCAAGGCTTGGAGCTCCATGATTGTGGGGTTCGCTGTGCACGGGCTTGCAAAGGAGGCCTTGGAAACTTTTCAGCGAATGGAGGAAGCTGAGGTGGTTATACTTATATTTTTCGTTTCTAATTTCACTTTTCCCCTCTGTTTATGAGTTAATTAGTGTGATGACTAGCTTTTATTCGGTAAGTTCAAACTTTTATTGGAATTTGGAGGAAGCTGAGGTGATTAAACTGTTCATTTNTTTAGTTTATGGGTAACTAGTGTAGTGACTTGCATTTTATTTGAAGAGATTAGAGGTTTAAGTAAGTTGTTATGATTCAATCATGGATGGTAGTCGGGCTCTCGATTTGCTGTAAGACCGTCTAAGTATTACGCATGGCGATCATATTTTCCACATGAAAGTTCAACCTTTTTGGGTAAAATCAAACATTTTCCAAAACAACTATTTGCATCGTTACGAAAAGTTTGGCTTTTTTTGGCTTGACGGCTATGATTGTCTGTGTTGCATCCAGTTTTTGTGAATCATGTATCAAGCTCATGAATGTTGCGGAATCTTTTTTTTGTTTTTTTTTGTTTCACCTTAAAGATTCTGAATTGATGGTAATGCATGCTCTTTCCAAATTACATTTCAGGTCGAGCCTAACCATGTAACACTTATCGGCGTTCTATCAGCATGTGCACACGGCGGCCTAGTTGCAGAGGGTAAAAAGTACTGGTCGACCATGATCGAATCCGGAATGGAGCCGTCCATGGAGCATTATGGCTGCATGGTCGATTTATTCTGCCGTGCAAACAAAATCGACGAGGCGTACGAGTTCGTGAACAGCATGCCAATTTCCCCGAACCCCGCCATATGGCGCACCTTGCTCGTAGCTTGCAAGAAAAACAAAATCTTGGAAAAAGGCGAGAACTCGGCTAAACACCTCCTTCAATTAGAACCCCACAATGCGGAGAACTACATACTCCTCTCGAGCTTTTACGCCTCGCAATCGAACTGGGTGAAAATGAGCAACGTTCGAATGCAGATGAGAGAGAGGGGAATTCGGGCTGTCCCGGGCTGCAGCTCGATCGAGATAGATGGACGCGTGCATGAATTCGTGATGGGCAGTTGGTCACATCCCGAGGCTCAGGACATAAGGGACGTTATATGGGAAGTTGCCGAGCGAGTTAAACTTGTCGGACACGAACCTTGGATTGCGTCCGTTTTGCAAAATGTGGGCAATGGTGAAAAGGAGAGTGCGCTTTGGGAACATAGTGAGAGGCTGGCAATCGCGTATGGCTTGTTGAGGACTAAAGCGCCTATGGTGATTAGGGTCGTGAAGAACCTTAGGGTGTGTGTTGACTGTCATGAGGTCACGAAGAAGATTAGTAAGCTTTACGCTCGAGAAATCGTTGTTAGGGACCGGATTCGGTTTCACAAGTTTGTCGGTGGTGTGTGTTCTTGCGAGGATTTCTGGTGAGTTTTGGAAGGCAATCGTTTGCCTGCAATTTTGGTCGTCGTTGAGTTTTGATTGGGGTTTTTTTTCTTGTTTTTTCTTTTTTGGCTCCATGGTTGCTCTTTTTGGGTGGTCACTTTAAAACTTGAATGGGGTGTTTTAACCTACATTTGTAGCTATAATGTACCAAGTAGTCATTGTGATGAAAGGTTGCTCTTGTATGCATTTGCAGATTTTTTAGAAGTTAATTTGAAAGAAAAAAGAAAAGGACCCTTTGCTATCTATCTTCCTTGTACAGCTTCAATTGTTAGTTTTTAATCTTGGAATGAATCTCATTGTCTTCACACAAACTGAAGATGTTTTCAATTCTGGGATGCTTAAGCTGTCCTTGACAAAAATATAAAACGGAATCAAGCCTCTAAGTTTCTTGTGTTTATTGAGAGAATTAAAGGATAAATGAGATATTATTGTACAATAAAACATAGAATTTTATTGCAGTAAACTTGAATATGTTACTAAGTACAACAAACACTTCATGTCCTCACTTCATAGAGAAACTTCTGTAGCTTTTCCTCGCAAAAAGCACTTCCAACAACATGAACCCATAGACCCATATTCAAGAATAAAAATTCCAGACTCTCCCCATACAGTAAAAACAGTACTCAAACTTCGATTTCGACACGCCACCTGTACATCTCCTTATGTGGAACCGGAAGCATCAGAGTACCCAACCCATTCGAGGCTTCGTAGTTAAGCTCGATCTCCTTGCCATCAACCGTGCTTTTTGAGGGTCGTTGCGAACAGTAGAATCCAAACCGGCCACATCCCCTTACCTCGAGCCCGATTTTCGCACCAGTTGATTCTTTATCAGTCGAGGCATCTGATTTCTCTAAAATGACCTCAAAGTGCTCGAGAGCACCAGTGGAGTTGAACATGTCGAGCAAACCAATAGGCGCGAACGATATGTTTCCCTTCAAATTCTGTGTTTTGGTGAAAAATGTGTGATTCAAGTTAAAATCAGCAAAAAACGTCAAAAGTCGCTAAAAGACCCACCCGAGCTAAAGGCTCACCTTCAAGGGGCAAAAATGGAAGAGTTCATATTCGAGAACTTTAAGCGTAACTGGTAAGGAGGCCCCTTTAGGCAACTTGAAAATCTCCCCCGTTCGATGAGCATAGATAACACACTCTCCACTCCAATCCGGTCCAGCTATTTCAGCTATCATGTCGACATCCGTGGCTCGTACAGAGCCAGTGAGAGTCCCAGGCGAAGCATCGTGAATGCGCGTTTTCTTAGCCACCTTGCACCACCCGGCCCCCTGGCAGTTGAATACTCCAACCACCCCAGAAAACTTGTTCGCATTCCAGATTTTAAGCAAGCTGCAAAATGATCGCAATGTAACGAACCCTTTTTTTCTTTTCTTTTTATTACATTTTTTTAAAGAGATGATGTCCGAACCTTGTTCCATCTCGGGCTGGATCGACGAAGAGGCAGTCTAGTGTGGGCCGTCCGGGCAACTTTGCTCTGAGAATGGACCCGTCCGGAAGTACCAGTTTCTTCAGGAGCTCGAAATTGTGGTGACCAGGCTTGTCACTGGATACACAGCAAGAATATTCATCATGAGGTTAAGTGAAAGAAAAAGATGGACAAATATTGCAATTTTTACAAAGTACTGATGATTTAGGGTTATGTTTGGTAAAACTAATTGATAAGTTAGTTAGTTGATAGCTTAATTTTTGAGCTTATAACTTATAGCTTATGATTTATAGTTGAGAAACTAACTTAGTGTTTGGTAAAATTAGTTGATAAGCTAGCTGAAATAAAAATTTTAACGACCTTATTTGAAAAGCTCCCAAAGAAGCTTATGAGATAAGCTCGAGCTTTTTAAAAAATCTCGTCCTACCAACTGAAGTTTATTTGAATACAGAAAGCTTATAAACTAACCAAATAAGCTATAAGCTACCTTATTTGGTTACCAAACATAGCCCTAGATTGGTCCAATGGAAGATATAAGTAATTCAGTCAAAAACTTTAAAGTGTAAGTAAGTGAGGTTACCTAACGTAGATTGCACACCCACCAACAGCTCGAGCCGCAGCATGATACTCTGCAGCTGGGTGCAAGCTCTGCAATACAAAAACCTCACTAATCAGCAACTCTCAAAATGCACCTTAACGTGATTTTTTATTAGTTACACAAAGTAATGCTCTCACATGAAACATATCCCAGTCGGGCTGCATGAACTCTCCTAAAAACACGGTATTATAAGCCACAGACGAGATATGGATCGTGTGTGATGCAGGGTCACGTGGATAAAAATCGTCCGAGGCCCTTACTACAGCTGTCTGCCTAGCGCTGTACAACCCATCCGTATTATGGCACATGCATGCAATGCACCCGTTATCCGGAAAGTTCCGGGCAATGGAAGCCTCGAGCGCCTGGTGGTAGCTTCGGGTGAGGGAGACCCGCCCGCCGTGACCAGACCCGAGGGTCTCGATAATGTTCTGCACATCGACTTTGACTCCGTCCACACCGCACGATGCCAGGTAGGCGTGGAGCTCGTTGTAAAAGTCGAAGACTTTCGTGGGGTGTACAAGGCCCAAACCGTGGACCGCCAGGCTGTCCATGACGATGTCCGGCTGGTTGCCGAGGACTCCCGGGGACTGGATAGGGTATGCTAATGCAGTCTGATAATGGTCCATGCCGGGACCCAAGGGGTGGACCCCACCCCAGTAGCCGGCCAAAGCGTGCCACACGTACACATACCTGAATAACAATGAACCTCAAATCAAGAGTGTGTTCCTTTTTTTTTTTTTTTTTTNGGGAAAAAGTTGGGGAAGTAGGTCACTTGACATTATGCTGCTGCTTGGCTTTTCTCACGACGAGTATCAGACCAGATTCGTGTTCGTCGGTTTCGTCTTTCTTTTGGAACTTTGCGTTCTCTTTAAGTCCCATTAGCCTATTTGCGAACCTGCAGATTTCGAGACGTGTTGATGAATGTAAAAAATTTACTATACGGTAATACGGAGCTTTTAAAAATAATAGTAAAAAACGAGTAATTGTCTTACTGAGCGCCCTCTTGAACAACACAATTCGGGTCTTCCTTGGCCTCACTTCCTATCTGTTGCCAGCCGTCGTCTATAATCAAAAAACGGGGCGGCGTGCCTCCTTCAGACAAGCTGCAAGAGTGGAACTATTCGTTTTAGAACACTGAGGGAAAAATAATATGGGATAAAAGAAAAAAAGAGAGAAAAAAATCAAAACTTGCCTCTTTAGTCCTTCTTCAACGCCCTCAGCTGTGACATCGGTGTAGAAAGCATCCCATGTACACCACCCGAACCAGTCGATGAACGAGGGAAGCTACATGTTTCAAGAAGTACATGCATGCACATATATATAAGCATAAGTTGGAATTACTATTGTCCTGATTCAGTTAAATAATTCATTTTTAAGTAATAAACAGAACATTTTCTCACCTTCTTCTTCTCTCGGTGCTGAAATGTTTGCAAGTGTTTCTCGACAGCTCTGTCGAAATGGATCATTTTTCCAATATCAGCATAAAACTATTCAGCGCAAACAAAGTAAGGTAAGTGGAAAACAAAACAACCCCTTACTTCACAGCCTGGTTGATCACTTCAAAAGAATTGGTCCCGGCATGCATGTAAACAAGGCAATTCCCTTGATTGGTTTGAACTGCATTATCTCCTGCAATCAAAAGCCAGTGCAAAATACAAAATACCAGGGCCCTCGCATTCTTACTAGGGTTAAATGACAAAAGTACCCTTGGGATTTTTCTTAATCGCAAAGCATCCCACAATTTGCATTCCTAAAAGTTACAAAACCCCTAGATTTCCATTTGCACAAATTGCCCATACCTCAAGGAGATTGATTTTAAATCAAAACGTCTTATTTTTGTACTACTTACCACTCTCGAGACAGATTTCGAGCTCGTTTTTCTCGTTTCCCTGAAGAACAGCACGAAACTGGCCTTCGAGAAGCGGCAAGAAGACAGTGTAGATAGTCGGGCTGTCTTCACGCTCGACTTCACTTGTATCCTTAGTCTCCACAAGCATGAATTGGGTTTCCAAAGGAATTTCCTTACCACAGGTCCCCATCCTCTGAGTCATCCACCAGAGCTTGAATCGGAATAAGCACATGAACCGTACACCCCTTTTGAAAATTTACAATAAACACCCAAAAAATAAGTAACAAATTTCACGAAAGATGATTAAAAGAAAAAAAAAAATCATAAAATGGATATAGCAAACTTACTCTAGGACACCAACTGGGAAGACATGAAGGCTTTTGCTATGCGAAGCTTTGGCACCGATAAATGCACCAGCCATCGAACCCAATCCCTGGGTTAGAAAAATGTTATCAGGCACCCCTTTGAGTATCGTTTTCCTATGAACCATAAGGTTCCCCTCGTTGATGGATATCTTTGGTGTCACCGTCATCTCTTTACTTTCTAAATTTGTTCGACAATTTACTGCATCACAATACGCAGGCTGGATCAGTAAATAGACTACTGGCAAAATTTCAAGCAAAAAAAATTGCCAGTCTAGTGTGAATTATGGGGGGAACGAAAATCTGCACAGAGGAACTTTATATGCTTTATCAAGAGCAAGAGTAAATTCAGAACTTGAAATGGGACACAACAAAATGTTACTACTATCTAAAAGCAATCTATAGGTAACATATTTTGAACCGAAAGCATGTTTAGTTATAAAAGAACAGCATATCTGGATCACTCCACCCTGAAGATCCCAACATGTGCCATATGTACAAGTTAATTACAAAATGTTCATATTTTCAGACAATTTATCAAAATTTTCTTTTTACCTGTCCACATCTCTGTACTCAGCTTTCATTAGAGAGACAAACACAAAGAAAGCAAGAAGAATCAAAGTTACTGAAGCATAATAGTACCTTAATTCATAATAGTAACAGCACAAAAAAAAGAAAAATAAGATCAAAATCACGGGAATTTGAACAAAGTAAGCATAAACGAAAAGGAATTACTTCAATCAGGGCTACTGGACAAGGCCAAGCTAGTTTGAGGGAAGCTAATTCTAATTTCTAGGCCTTAAGGGATGCTGATTTAATTTTTATTCTTTTTATTTTTTAAATCCATCCATCACAGAAGAGAGAAAAAAAACTCATCAGCTACTAAATCATTCAACATCGGCGACCTCTTACGGTTGTCTTCAACCTCTTATCCGCACGACAACACCGAAAATCCGAAGGTACCATAACAGAAGCTGAAAGTACAACCGCAGCAAAGGATCGTCCAGTGATTTTTTCAGCTTCCAGCATAAAATAGAAGCATAAAGACGAACAAATGTGCGCAGATAGTTGGTTGTTTTAACCCAAAAATACCTTCGGCGAGCTTTAAAATCGACGACGAGCTCGAAGGTACAGCAACGGAGGCAAGAAGTACAACCATACTCGTCGGAAAAAGCAAACGCCAAAATCTTTTGCTAAGAAAATACCCGTAAATCAATTAACGTTTTTTTCATTAATTCAACAGACACCACAGAATCTGAACCAATTTTTTCGCGGGGAAAAGGAATTAAAATCTTCAATTGCCCAAAAAAGGAATAAAAAAGTTACCTTGGGCGCCTAAGGAGTAGCTTCAGGAGGTGAAATTGAAGGACGAGCTGCTATATCTAACTGTATGCGTAAATGTACATGTGTAAGTATATATATAGAAGTTCGCAGTTCACAAAAGAAGCTCAGTTTATAACAGAGAAATGAGAAGGAAGTTGTTCAACAATGGCGGAGCTGAGTTTGAAAACGTTGCAAACCCAATAGTTTATATACTGAGTCAACTCTGGTAAGCCTTAAAAAGGTGAGTTACAAATAGTCCAGCTAGACTTGAGTCTTTAAAAAGAGCTGTTAGTTAATTAATTGTTCCTATATATATGAATAAGCCCGTAAATGAGTCGGGTCAAGCTTGAGTTTAGGGTACTTGAATTCCAGCTCGATTCCTTAACACCTCGACTCGTTAATCAAATGAACTTTAAATGAGTTCAAATTCGACTCGTTTATCAAATGAATTCGAGTTCGACTCGTTTATCAAAAGAATTATATCGAACTCAAGCCAAAATCGTAAATTAACAACACTATACACGAGTATGGGCTTTAGCTTAAACTATTTTTTAAGTGAAAATTATTAATTAACATTATTCGTATATGAACTTGAGTATAGTTGTCTTGTTACGTATAGCTTTTCAATATTAATGAATCAAATAAATTTTAAATAATTAAGTAACGTTTAAAAAAAACTACTATTTCTCAAACTTTAATGATTAATGTTAAGTTTGAGTTATTAACTAAACTAAGTTCAAATATACAATATTATCAAAACTCGAATCTTAACTTGTTAAATTGAGCTGAGTCATAAACAATTCATCTAACTTTGTATTAATTGTGCGTTTGAAATAATTTAAAAAGCATTTGACATTATTATAATCAATAAAGTAGATGAAAGAATTATAAAATACTTAACCGTAAAAGTTTGGCACCGCATAATTATCGAACCTGCAAATCATGATTAGAGCAATAATGCAACTTAACTCTGAAAGTAAATTACATTTGAAATTGTTAAAATAGGTTAGCAATTTTTAAATTGTTCCAAAAATCCACAGTTGTGTGCAACGTGTACATTTTCCCGCAATCAGTCATTCTCCAGAAATCACCAGGTCATCATGGGCTCACATTCTCCAAAATTAGAAACTTCCAAAAAACTACACTTTTTACGTGTACGTAAAACAAAATAGAAAGCTGTAGAACAATGTATTATTGCATTACATGAATGGCTTAGTAACATCTCGAAGCTTTGCGATATAATATAAGATAGCTAGATATTTAAGATATAAAAAGTCATATTTCCTAATTGGGACACGAGTTGTCTTTGCCAGTAGCAAATAACTATTGTCCACAATGGCATAATGTACACATGAACTCATGCTTGTCGATATTATTATTATTATTATTGCCCAAATGACCTGTAAATTGCAACAAAATTGTATTATTATTATTATTATTATTATTATTATTATTATTGCTCAAATGACCTGTAAATTGCAAAATTTGCAAAAAGTGGAGATTTTGCAGACCAAAATTATCTAATTATAAAAACGATGTTACCGACTCAACAGAATGCTTGAAGGTTCAATTCCATTGAAGATATATATGGAATGCAACATCAAAGTTCCATTCTGATTACTGATAAAAATGAAATTTTATATGTTATAAAACAGGTGTCATTGGTTGAAGATATTGAGGCTGGGCTAAGGCTGGCCCAACTTCAATACTAAATTTTGCTTGTGTTGTTGGATTTGTTTGATTGTGGGCCAATAACAACTTTGAAAGGTTAGTCCAAAATTAAACTTGGATCTTCTTGTGAGCCCAAATAGCAATAAGATGGGAAGCCGAACATTCGAATATCTCCCATAACATTTTATTGACAAATTTAGATTAATTTTTGTTACAAATGTTTTATTGTAATAATTAAATATTATAGAATATAAAATATAACTAGTATTCGTTAAAATGTGCCGTGAATAAAAATTTTATTTTATACAAAGAAATTTAGTAATAACTGATAATTGTTATCTTAAAAATTATATTCATAAAATTGAGTTGACAAAATTGAGATGCATCAATGATATAGTTTTTAATAAAATATTGACAAAACTGATAACGAATCAGCCCCTAATATTTTAGGGGAACTTTAGGTTACCATTACATTAAGATAAATATATTTTGTGGAATTTGTAGTTAGTACTGATCACTTTCACCATGTAGCCAACCAGCATATAATTCATTTATTTAGGTTCAAAGCATCCCCAATCTCACGTTAACCCATATAGTCAACGGATTTAGCCTTTAATCCGCCGAAGTTTATTGGTCAATGCTCTTAATTCTTTCGTGTTTTTTTGACATTTTGTTAAATGAAATGCTCACTTTTCTTTAGACTGATCAAGGTTTCTTTTATCTTTTGAACACAATGCTTGACGTAGTAGTTAATTACGTATGTGTCACACTCACATGTGTGAAGGGCATTAAACATTTTTGTATAAGTGTAGTTTGTAAATTTTAAGTATTTAAACTCGAGATTTATGGCATAGTAATTAAAGATATATATATGTGATGAACTTAATTACTCTCATCATGGCTATAAGAATGGTCTTTTAAATATGTGTGTGTGTGTGTGTTATGAATTAATATTTGACAAAGTGTATTGATTGGAGTTGAATGAATAAAAAATAGTAAATTAGAAAATATGTGTAAGAGTATACTTTTAAGTGTAAAAGATTTGTCTTTAAAAATGTATAAATATATAAATATTAAGTTTTGTTGAAAAAATTTGTAGTTTTCAGTTTTGTTGTTTTTCCATTTATTTTGTTTATATACATTTAGGAGAAACAAGTAAAATATATAATTTTTTTAAATATATATATGTAATTTCGATGAAAAAAATTACCAAATGAGAACGATAAATAGAGGTGTAAACGAGATGAGTTGAGCTCGAGTTTCTAATACTTGATTTGAATTAAGCTTGATTATTCGTTAACTATTCAAGTTTGGGTTTGACTCATTTAATTATTGATATTAATGTGTGTAACTCGAGTCTTAACTAGTTGTAACGAGTCGAACTAAGATATAATTTATAAATATTATGTAAGAACTCTTACTCTCGAATCCTAACATTACTTAAACCTACCCTTTTCATATTTCCATTTTCTTTTCCTCGTAATGAGATTGTCACTTACATGGACCGTATGTCATGTGCATTTTTGTCCATTCTCCATCATGATTCGGTGATTTATTTATTTGACCATATCTTATGGCGACAAAGAAAGATTTAGTTGGCATATTGTATATGCCAATTGTGCAACAGCTTTCATTTATTTTTTCTGATAAATTTCAATTCTTATAAAATTTAATACTAACTAGATGAATGTTTTCTAATTAAACAATGTTAGTAGACTGAGATCTAATCCGTGGGCGGATCTGGAGCGATTAAGCAAGAAAACTCTGAGGGTTTGGCTCATTAAGTTAACAAACTGATAAATGTTATATGAGTTTGTCTCTTTAACTACTAAAGCTCAAGCCTTAACTTGAACTTAATTATACTAAAAGTTCATAAAATTACATAAAAAAGAAAAAAAAAATGATGGACAAAATAGTTGATGGTGTAATTTTGTTATTACAAGTTAATTATATATAATAAACAGGATCGATACAATTTTCTTTTTAAAATTTTATGACCATCTCAATGATCTAAAATCATGTGAGTTCCACTTTGCAACATTTGACAAACACGAAAAAAGCCAAAAACCAGGTTACTTTCTAGTTACTAGACGTGGCTTGACTATAATCACTTGGAGATATATTAATCAATATAATAAATGAAACTTGAAGATTTTTTTACAGCAGATAATGTTAAAAGATTGACCTAATTATGGTAATAATAAGAATAAAATATAAAGATGTTCAACGACTCTAACTTCCTCATGTTTGGACTAATTAACTTTTAACATGAATAGTTTGAAGTCTCGAGTTGATATCTATTTATCTTTTTAAAGTTCAAAGAATCTGACAGCTTATTTTAAGTGCATGAACATTTATATATAAATAGCAATTCTCTACATATAATACATGCTATATTTAGAGAACCGTGAGGTTTATTGCTGTTCCTTCAATTCATGTGGCACATGCTTCAATTTATCTGCTTTTTTTATCCCTTCGATCTTACTTCTTACTTGAACTTTAACTAGTGCGTGACCCGTGCGATGCACGGGTTGCATAAATTTGGAGAATAATCAATAATATAATTTGACATGCATTAGGATCGAAATCATTATGATACATAGGAACATTATTGAATCATAAAATGTTCGTGACGAAACAATCATATATTATTAAAAACCTCCTTATACACAACATTATGAGTTTGATTATTTGATAACTCTTCATTATCACAACCTAATATCTTCAACCACCTTCTGTTAATTACACGTGAAACAATAACATATAATTGGTCGTGACTAAAAACAGGTTTCTTTAGGAAAATACCAACGTTACTATTCAATTCATAATTGAATAGCGGTGGTCGACCTATAGTTACCAAGGTTGCTATTCAATTCATAATTACGAATATGATAGATACCGCCTTCCTCTAGTTCTTTGCGTACCTTCAGAATATGACCATTGCGTACCTATTCAACTAAGGAGCTAATCTTTAAAGACTGCTTACACGATGATATGTGTTCCCTACAAATATAATAAATTAATAGTTAAACAAAATGATAATGTATGTAGTTGAAATATTAATAAATAAAAATAAAATAGAAAATACCTTTCTATTTTGAAAAAGGATCTGCAAGATCTTTTTTATGAAGATTAGGAGACTGGCGCTCAAACATATGAACCACACGAAGTTTAATGGACATTTATTGTTTCTTTGAATGTCAGTGACGACACTGAAGGGGATTTCAATAGTTTGCTTGGTGGTGTTTTGATATTTAGAAAATGTTTTTTATAGATGCGTTGAAGGTAATTTTCTCGTTTGAGGATGTTGAATAGTTATAGGGGTGTATATTCAAAATTGTGATGGCTGATAATAGTGTGAAACCGATTCTTAAGGGGAAAACTAAAAAAAAAAAGAAAAAAGTTTTAGAAAAGTGAAACAAATCATGATTTTTATTTTTTAAATTATATAGATGATTCAACAGAATCGTTGAAATTTTACCATCTGGTTAACATCCTACAACCGCACTTTTCGGTGGTCTAATGTAACAAAGTTATAATGAAAAGGGAATTTGACCAGATAATATTCCTTCAATTAAGGAATTTGGTTCTTTAAACGATATTAAAAAAAAAAAATATTTTCGCAATTTCAAATTTTTCAACTATCTTCTTAACCTCCTACAGCCGCTCTTTTAGGTGATCCAATGTAACAAACTTATAATGAGAAGGGAATTTGACCAGATAATGGTTCAACTATGTTGTGTATGTGACATCTTTAAAAAAGAAAAAATTGCCACTGATGGAAAACAAATAATGAGGAGGGATTTTGACCAGAAAGTTGACCTACTATTTTTGTTAAATGGTAAATCTTATTATATAAGTATAGATACGAATTTATTAGGCAATAAAATAAATAAAAAATTCCGATAGTAGATAATTGATTTTATTATTGGGTTTGTAGTTAATTTGACTAACAAATTTAATTAAAAATTTGTTAAATACAAAAATATTATAATTGTTATGTTGTATTATCTTTTTTAAACCATCTCTTTTCAGAGTGTTGCCATTTGAGCTATTTTATAATTAACTTTTTAGTAAAAAAAAATAATTAAATAAGTTCTTTACGAGATAAATTAATTAACAAAATTACTTGATCAATGATATATGATATTCAATTCAATAATTTATCACCAATCCTCAACGAACAAAGGAGCCCATAATATTAACTGTAGAGTGATGTTAGTACCTAATCATCAATTACTTACATATCTCCAATAAATTACCTATCCTTATATTGGAATAGCTTATTTAGAATAAACAAATAAAATCGTGACATTTCACCATCTAAGTTTATATATATATTTAATAAAAGAATATGAGAAATATATCCATCTATTTCTTGAACACCCTAAGCTTGGAGTTTGTGTAAAACTAGGACCATAGGTAATAATAATACAAAATGACGTAGAAATATTTGCCATTAATTAAAGAGATAACTGGCAGACTAAGCCATCTTGCAATAATACCTCGGCAAATAATATTAAATGTTTTCTATAATCTATACTTATATTAAAAGGTATATCATTTACCAGATTTAGTATAAAGAAAAGTCAACAACATTTATTGCATTACTATTTCCGTATTATAAAATCTATACTTATATAAAAGGAGATTCTATTTACTATATTTACTATCCAGAAAAGTCAACTATATTAAATGTCATTACTATTTTGGTATTATAATATTTTATTTATTTAATTGATTTATTTATTTATTTTATTTTAAAAAGGTAAGTATAATAAAATGATTTTAATAATAAAAAAATCAAATACCAAATAAAAATATAAACTTTGACTTATTTGATTATATTTAGTATTTGATTATACCAAATATATTCCTATTTAGTATATACATTAAATACTTACTAAAGTATTTATTTATTTTATTTATCAATGTTAAGTATAGATTTGTTTATATTATCAAATCATAAAAAAATATTAAATCCATATTGTAAAAAAAAAATCGTATAATTTTATAACAATTTTACTACACTATTTAACAATATTTTTTTTATTATATAATAAAATAAGAATTAAATATTATATGGTGAACAACAATAAGTAAAACTGTTACTTTCTCTTATATCCAGGGATAAATTAATATGCTAAAATTAAATTTTTATTAGTATAAATATTTTAGTGAGATAATATATTAATTATTTTACAAGCTAGTCCTAACATGCTCATATTTAATGTTTTAAAAGATGTAGAAAAAAAACTTATAATATCTCTATTGTTTTTTAGATTTAAACGTTCATTAAAAGAGGTAAAAATTTCTAATTTTTTAGACTTAAGAGCATCTCCAATGTGGCTTTTGACATTATAAAAATTCATTCATATCATCAACTTTTGAAAGTGAGTTATTAATTTATTCTCCAATGCATCTTGTTATGAACTCTTTCATGACGAGATGGATAGCATTTAATGTTGACAATGTTGAACACACTTTCTAATATCTAACACCATGTTAAACATGATGACTAATCAATTCACTTTATATTTGATTTAATTTTTTATTGTTCTTGTATTAATGATTATTTTAATTGGTCCACCTATACAAATAACTATTTATCAAATTGATGCATTGGAGATGCTAGTTTGATTCAAATTTCTACTCTTTTAACATTATTCCTACATGGATTAACATTACAATTATTGATTGACATGTGTTAAAAATCATTCTCTTTCAAAGCTATAACATTGGAGATGCTCTAAATGTTGATTAACACCATAGATTGAGAGTTTATATTTAGTAAAATTCCTAATTGTAATAAAAAAAATTAATTTTTGCTCTATTTTAGAGTATCTTTAAATTCATTATAAAAAAAAGAAAAAAAAAACTACAATGAAAAAAGCAAGTCAGCTATATATCGATTTGTTGTACTTCTCAAATCACATTCACAATTTGGCTACAAGGAAAAGAAACCCATTGATTAAAATATTATTTTGTCAGTAGTCTTAATGTACAAAAGACTTTAAGACTCCACTTGAATATTATAAAACTTTTATTGAACATTGTACAATTTTCTTGTGTATTATAAACTTTTATTAAATATTGCATCTTATAATATAATATTCTCCAAATAAATATATCTCGTGCTTCGCACGGGTCACGTACTATATATATCCCGTACATTTTAAGTTTAAAATATCGATCTTTTGAGGTAGAACCTCAAAATTTGATTTTAAGTTTAGTTGTTTTTGCATATCAAAATTTGATTTTAAGTTTAGTTGTTCTTGCATACCATACTATTAATTATTCACTAAACACTTTGTGCAATCATTTAATTCAAACAACATGTTAAATCTTCTAATTCAAGCAACTATCAATTATCAACTAACTCAATCAACTAACTCAATAAACTACTATCTTTCAAGAGAGGAATCGACCTGTTGACTTCTTTGCCTGCACCGGGACCTCCACTCCCCAGAGACGCATTCTTCATCCTGACGATATTCTTTTCTGCCTCCATACACTTATACGGATGAACCGGATGTGATGATGAACCAGATATGATACTCTTCATCCAGATTTGGGTAGTTGACCTTTTATCAAATCAAATTTATTTGAATACATTATGTTTATAAGCTATCTAAATAAGCAATTAATAGCTTATACACTATAAAATTTTTAAAATTAGCTTTTAGATAAAATATTGTTATCTGAAAGCTATATTTAAATTCTAACTGATCAAACATTTTAATTTATCCCAAACCTCGAATGTAGACTTATTTGCCACACCATCACCTATATATTTATGAGAATTGATTAAAATCCCACTTTGTTTTGATTTTTACCCTTTAACAACACAGTTACCCAAAAATAAAAGTAATCAAATTATTTCCTGTAATTAGTAAACTCTTGAGGGTTTCTTCTACAACTAGCACAAACTCCAGGACTCTTTTGGTAATAAAATCCCTAATAACTGAAACCCAAAATAAAAAGGAAAAGGAAAAGAAAAAAAAAAAACAGATACCGTCTTCAAGCTCGAGTCTTGGTGAGCTGAATGCGGCCAAAAGGGCACGCCTATCTCCATCACAGCGCGTCTAATCACGCGCCCGCGCACACCGTCAGACGCACCCCCTCAACAGCATTAATAATAGCAATAGCTCGGGGCTTGAAATAAATTAGCGGCAATTTTCTGGCAATCTTTTTATCGTCTTCCTCGAACTTTCCATGGCTTAATTTCGCTCCCCAAATTTTCCTTTTCTTCTGAAAGTTGAGTTCGCGAACCCTTCTGCGTTTCGCATAAGATTCGCAATTTTACAGGAAAGTTTTCAGTACCAGCCAGGTGGGTTTTGGGTGTTAGTTTCTATTCTTGCGATTTCCAAGAAATTGTTTATTGACCATTTCATTTTCAACGAACTTCCACTAATTCTCTCGTTTTTTGTCGTTCAAATTATGTGGCGGGTCACTAGGCTTTCTTTCGTTGTGATTATTATTTGGCGTTTATTAGTTCAAAGATTGGATTTTTATAACAATCTTCTAAATTGTTGGCAAGATCAGTTTTTCATATTTTTCTATTTATTTTTTTCTACCTTTTATCTTATTGCATTTTTCTGTTGCAACTTGTTTGTGCAGCTTTTTGTTTCTCCTATCAATCAATATGTTTGTATCTTGACAGATTGATTCTCGATTTGGTGGATCATCTCTATCTATGGTGAGCTAACGTATCTGATTTAAAAGATGATAAAAATGGTTTCTTTTATGTCTTTTAATGGATCCAAATGGTTGGTTCATGTGTCCCTGTTTCTCTTTTTGGTATTTCCATTTTCCATTTTCTCTCTGTGATATGTTATGTTTAATGGTTAGGGGGAAGCTCCAGCTTTCTTTGAAGATGATCTCCATGAAAACCACTCAAAGTGGCCCGTATTCAATTCTAAGGGCTACGAAAAGACTATCGATGTTGGATGCGGAAAAATCGTATGATGATATGATGAATTTACTAATTTTTATCTTTATTTTCCAGTTTTCCTCCACATGGTGAAGAAGTTTATTGGTTGTGAATGAATATTCTTCATTCTTGATTTTGTTCTAGTATGCCATTGGCGCTACGGATTGCACGATTGCAGTTCGAATTCTTGATAAGTCGAAAAATGAATGGTAAGGCTTTTCATGGGACCATTTTCTTCTCAATACTGGTGTAGTTTTTTGAATTGATACAAGTGATGATTCGATAATCCCATAGGGTGAGTCCCACTGTGCTGGGAATGATACCAAAACCGTCTGAAGGCCATTCAGCTATTGCCTTAGACGAGGATCGGATTTTGGTTATTAAGGGGAATGCCAATTCTGATGACTGCTTTTGGTTTCTGGAGGTTGGATTTTTTTTTAATATGTATCTTTTTAATGTGAGGTGTTTGTTGATTATTTGTGGTGGACTTTTATAGTTTCTGAGCATTTTAGTGTAGTTTCTCATAAAGCTAATGTTTCTGGATGAAGTGTTGGTTGTTGTAGCAAAAGTGAGAAATTAGTTCGGCAAATAATTTTTTTTAACCCGTTTGTGTGAAAAAATTTGACCAGGAGCAGAATCTGAATTGTCAAGTGCCTCTCCACTCTTAGATTTCGATTGATCAAAAATTCTATGGAGCCATCGAATGGTTTTCTTATGGAGCCATCCACCACTTAATGTATTGACACGTGTCCAAAGTGTATTTATTGCAGGACACGTGTCAATATACTATTGGTGAATAAGTGAGGATGACTCCATAAGCCGAGCCATCCGATGGCTCCATAGCAAAACTGTTCGATTGATTTTGCAGAAATCAGAGGAGGAAGTTTCTTCAATTAATAAATAAAAAAGCTAGAATTTTTTTTCTTGTACCAATTTGTGTGTTCTTTTTTTTGTTTTTAAAATAAACTTGCTTTGCAGATTAATACCCCATTTGTTAGAGAGCAAAAGGCGAGATTAGGGACTCAAGTGGTTGCATGGAGCAAAGCCGTGATCGGTGAAGCCAAGATACCGATTGTTATTAGCGGCCCTTCTGGAGTTGGTAAGGGCACTCTTATTTCTAAGCTAATGGAGGAATTCCCCTCGACTTTTGGATTTTCTGTGAGCCACACGACTCGGGCCCCAAGGAACAACGAGCACAATGGCGTTCATTACCATTTTACAGAACGTGCTCTGATGGAGAGAGATATAACTGACGGGAAATTCCTCGAGTTTGCAGCCGTTCATGGAAATCTCTATGGGACGAGTGTCGAGGCTGTTGAGGTGGTTACAGATGGCGAAAAGGTATACTCATCTATTTGTACATTCATTCGTTAATTAATGTCCTTGCTTCAGTTTTTCTGTTTGTAGCAAGTTTAAGGTCCAATTATTGTGGTTAAGCTTATTTTGTATAAGGGATTTATCTGCAGAAGTCAGATTAGAGAAAAAAAGAAAAAGAGAGAGAGAGAGAGAGAGTTGTAACTTTGAATCCATCCTCATTTTCTCCTGTTTATGTTTGAAATATGGATAATAGAAGCAGAAGTTGACATTATGAAACAAATTACCCTTTTTTTTCTCCCTAGTCAAAAGCTGATAATAACTTATATACTTAATTTTCTGCAAACACAATCTCTAAGACTTCTTCTCAGTTGGTATGCTTTGACCTCAACTGCCCCTCTTAAACAATCATGAAAAAAGATTAGTTTCCATATTGCATTTTGGTCAATGGACCCTAAACCTTGAGACTCGATTTGGTGGTGAATTTTTTCTTGTAGAGGTGCATTCTTGATATTGACGTTCAAGGGGCGAGATCTGTGAGGGCTACTTCTTTAGAAGCAATTTTCATCTTTATCCGTCCTCCCTCGTTTGAGGTGCTCGAGCAACGCCTTCGCTCAAGGTGGCCTCGACTTGAAATGCTAATATTAAACTAAACTGTACTTATTGTGTACTCTTTCTTACGTCGATTTTTTTTTTATTTTTTTTTTCTTTCTAAATTATATGCTATACAGAGGGACTGAGACAGAAGAACAGATCCAAAAACGACTCAGAAATGCAAAGGCTGAAATGGAACAGGGAAACTCGCCGGGACTTTTTGATCATATCTTGGTTAATGACAACTTAGAGACGTGTTATGAGAACCTTAAGGTGATTCTTTTTTTTTTTTTCCTTCCTTTTTCCATAATTAATTTAAACCCTTCTTCCCCTCTTCACGTTTCTCAAATTTTTTCTGAATTCGAAATGAATCGTACTTTTGAAATTTTTGCAGGAAATTTTGGGCCTCAGTGATGCAACCAAGACTAACAAGATATCAGGTAAATTAATGTCACCATAAGGTGAATTATGAAAGTTAGCTTAATTAGTAATTACTGTCCCTTGTAAGTAAAAACTGATCTTATGGAGCTCTGTTTTGAATACAGTGCCAGAGTTGGTTCGTGTTCCTTTGAAACATACGGTCTCTAAAAATGATCAGCAGATCATAATAAACTGTACTGCCCAAAAACAAGAAAAGTCGGATTTAAAAATGTACGCTATCCGAAACTATAAACACATACGTTGCAATTTTTGCAATTTTTTTTTTCCTGTCTTTTTTTTTCTCCTTAAATCCTCATGGGTTTTGCTTGTAGGTTTGTGCTTGATACATCTTCTATCAAAGGTGGGGCACCTGGTCGGACAAGGGGTCTGAATATTTACACAGCCGAGCTTCCCAATAATGGTGATATCGGTTCCCATATGCCGAGCTAACAGTTCAAATTATTCAAACTAACAACAGTTCATTTTGTCCCAATGTTCTTTATTTCCTTTGCTAAACATTACCAGAACTTGAAAAAAAAAAAATTGAGATTCTAATTTACCTCCTGAGAGCCTGAGGGGATTTCGAGACAATTCGAGAATTACGGTAGGTTCGGTTAGGGGAGGTAACAATTTTATTTACTCTTAGTTCTTATGACGAGGGAAAGAAAGAAAAAGAAAAAGAAACAAGAAAATGATGACCCTCTCTTATGCTATGATAAAAAGTGGAATGATCATGATTTGATCTTTCTTCTGCATTTTCCATATTCAGCATATCATCTCTTTTGGCTGATTTTTTTGGTCTTTATTGAATTGGTGGCCTATGATTGGCTGCTTTTTGCACAAGTTTGTTTGCTATTGATGGGGAAAGATGCTTTTGGGGTCCCTATGGAGCCAATGGCAAGATAAATTATTTTGGCTATTTTGACAATTTAGTGCACTTCTTTTGCTGGCCGAATATCTTCAACTTTTATGGTGTTCACTCGCATCGCCTTCTTTTGTGTTGCGTAGTCGATTTTTGTTGTGATTATCTTCCAAGGGTTTTTGCTAGAAATAACAATATTTTTTCAACTTTCAAATTTCATTTTAACAAACTTTAGGGTTCTAATTTCGTACTTCAAGATTTTTTGGTGTTTGAGGCAGTGTGATCGTTAGGTGGGTTTACTCTTCATATTATTTGAACAAAAGTACATATAATTATAGTATGAAATGTCATACTTCGATTTATATATTGTTTTTCCAAGTATAAGATAAACTATATTTTGGTCCTTGTCCTACATGACTCATATTGGCTATCATGTGGTATTTCATGAATTCATAAATGAAAATGGGGCCACTCTTAGCTGCCATATGTATAAGGAGAATCTTGAATTAAACACTGTATTAGATTCACCTGTCTATTTGTCTTTTGATTGGCCATGAGAAAATGTGTCAACACCTATTCTTTTTATATTTTTCAGATTCTTATTCTCATGTGAGTGTTATATGATTGGACTGATTTCACACAGAATAAAGTGTCGACTGCAAATATGTGCTATGTGTTTTTGGATGTGAATGCTATATAGTAGGCATGATTTCATATCGAAAATATATTAAAAATGTTTTTCTTGATGAAATGCAATCTAAACTTGATGAATATTCACATTGCTATGCAAGGCCATCAGGATAAGTGGGACTTTCTTTTTGTTTAACGGCATTTTTTGTCAGTAATTTTTACTGTCTCCCATATTGAGTCGAATACAAAACTTCTCGGGCTTATTGTGCTGCTGGAGCTAACCTACTGCAACTAGGCTCGATATGTACAACTCAATATAGGATGATATTTTGTTAATCATATATTGTCTT